CCCTCGATGGTTTCGTAACCGTACTCTTTGTCCTGCGCAGGGACGGGGAAACACACAAGCTGTTCTAAGTGCCCTCCCCCCTCACCTCCGGTTCTGGCTCGCCCCGCCATTGCCCGTGCGCCACGCGCGCCAGGACCCCCTTGAAGGGGAATGGGGTCTTCCACGCACAGGCAAACGTTGGCAAAACATCACCGGGGGGCAAAACCAAGAAACGGAAGGAGAGTCAGGGGAACTCTAACTGAGACTGGTGCGTTTTTCAAAACCAGGGTCGTTTTCGGGCTTCGGGACGCCAGGGTACTCGGTTTCCCATGAGTCTTCAGGGACAGCCCATCTCTTCGGGCGTTTCACTCCATGTCTTTGTTGAACTTCCAACTGCAATTTCCGAGCGTTTCCTAGCCGGGTCGAAGCATCCCGGAGCCTCAGCTTCTCAGGGCTCTCGTTTGCCATTCTGATCCACTCCGTTACCTGGGACAGAAACTTGTGGCTCAAGGTGGCGTCGGTCGCGCTGGCCTTCGTGTAGCTCTTGATCGACTTGTGCCCCGTTGTCGGACCTGGGCGCGCGGGGGCAGAGGGCGACAACATGGAGAAGCGCATCGAAGCACATAAAGGATGCATGGTTTGAATAAAAAAGACCACCAAGATCCGTCGGGCCCGTTTGAGGGCCCTGTCGTGCCTGTCTTGGAGCCATCTTGCGGCCCGCCTGAGGCCCGATTGTTTTTCAGAAACTTGCAGAAACCCATCGGGCCTCTTCGAGGGCCCTGTCTGGCTCGCCTTGGAGCCATCTTGCGGCTAACTTGAGGCAGGGCGGATTTTGCAGAAATGTGCAAAATCCGTCGTGCCATATGTGGGCCCTGTCTGACCTGTCTTGGAGACATCTTGCGGCCAGCCTGAGGCGGGACGGATTTCCCAGAAACTTGCAAAATCCGTCGGGGCCTTTTGAGAGCTTTGTCTGGTTCGTCTTGGAGCCATCTTGCGGTCAGCCTGAGGCTGGGCGGATTTTGCAGAAACTTGCTAACTCCGTCTGCCCCTTTGAGAGCCCTGTCTGGCCCGTCTTGGAGCCATCTTGCGGCCAGCCTGAGGCTGGACAGATTTTGCAGAGGCCCTTTGAAGGCCTTATCTGGCCCGTCTGGGAGCCATCTTCGGCCAGCCTGACGCAAGACATATGTTGCAGAAATTTGCAAAATCCGTCGGGCCCTTGGAGGGCCCTGTCTGGCGCGTCTTGGAGCCATCTTGCGGCCAGCCTGAGGCGGGGCGGAGTTTGCAGACACTTGCAAAATCCGTCGGGCCTCTTTGAGGGCCCTGTCTGGCCCGTCTTGGAGCCATCTGGCGGCCAGCCTGAGGCCATATGGGTTTCCCAGAAGCCTGCAAAATCCGTCGCTCCCCTTGGAGAGCTTTGTCTGGCCCGTCTGGGAGCCATCTTGCGGCCAGCCTGAGGCCGGGCGGATGTTGCAGAAACTTGCAAAACCCGTCGGGCAAGCTTCAGAACACCTTCGGCGCGCTCTAAACGACACCTCACGGGCACCCTGCACAAGTGAAAAGGCAAGTGTGAACGTACAAGAACTGATGCGGCAGTGAGCAACGCTGTAAAAACTATGGCATCGGATCATTCCTCGACGTTAACGCAAACTCACGCACAGCCAGCGTCTGAGCAATTCCCCCTCACCGAACACATCAACGACCTTTCTCCTGACATCAAGAAGACTGCACCCTCGCTACGAGCACGAAGGCGATGAGGCTAGGAATAATGATGGGCAGCATGGTGATTTCGCAAACAAGTCTACTTCTCACATCTCACGAACTCAAAGAAGATAGCTCCCACCACTATATGTTCTCGTTCACAACCGCCGTTCGGGTTGGGGCTGTAGCCGCCTCGCTGGCGCGCTCTATCTGACAACATGGCTAAGCGGCCGGGCTAGCACTCGCAGCGCCGAAGGACTTGAAAATGCTGCTGAGAACGCTCTGTTCTGCAGCAGCGTCGACATCTACCCACGGCATTGCAAGCAAGGCTGATAGCAACACTGCTTGCACGACGGGACCAGGAAAAACATTACCCGCCATGTTGGCGAGTAGCGGCTCGACTGCTGTCTTGGGCAATACAGTGGGCAACTTTGCAGTCACCTTCTCGAGTCTGGCCATGTTCCAGTCCGTTTGCCAGGGGAAACCTTGCAACGTCATCATCTCGTCCAATTAGCATGCGCGGATCTCCGACCTTAGAACTGGCCGGGCTCGGCACGAACAGAATCATCTTGGGAACGACGGTGGGGCTGATCTCAAGCTTGTTCTCGTCCAATTTACAAATCGATAGGCGCGTTATTGTCTGGCTAACGTCAACGGCTGCTCCTGGGCGATTCAGCTTCTCCGAAAATATGAGGCACTCCTTCTCCCTTTGGCTCAGGGTCTGGTACCACTGAGACTGGGCGATCTTGGCAGATGCAGGCTTCATGTCAGAGCGCGACGTCCACCGCATATGAATATCGGCGAAGGCTTTCCTGTGGAGATCTGGCCAAGACGCTCTCGCCTGCTCTGGCTGCTTAGCTGCGATCCTCCTGTCAAGCTCAGCGCGAACAGCGGAGTCCGTGGCGGGCAACATGACGTCGAGCGCCCCGCATCCCGGAGCTCGCTGGATGCTGCCCAGCTCTAAGGTAACGGCGTTGAAGAAACTGTTGAAGTCGTCATCAGTCTGCATGGCGTGCCAAGTGGAACACTCAAGAATCGCAAGCATGAAAACCCTCTGACGGGACTGTGGCAGGCCGTACTGGGCGCTGTTCAACACCAGAACGTGCGCACGATATCCTAACTCCTCAAGCGAACTAACTGCATGCTGAAGCCCGCTGCGCGCAGTCACGTCGGGTGTCAGGCTGGCGTCCTCTGTCAAGACGCCGTCCGTGTTCTCCCAGAGCACCAGCCTAGGGCGAAACGTCACCACGTAGTTGTAGCACCCTTCCCACGTATCAACCGAACTGTTTTTTACACTACTGCCGTCGCTCCCTTTCTGCAAAACTGAACCTCGCGGTCCGTCCTTCTGCAGGTGGGCAGAACATGAGCTGAAGTATTTGCAACTACTTCCGCATGTGAAAATGTCCACCTCCGAGACCTGGCAAGTGTCAGGCGGGCGGGGCCCCTTGCCGCCTCCTGCCTTCTTGGGGAGGCCGCCGTGGCGAACGCAGGGGCAGTGGCCTTGCTTCAACTCGCACACGTCAGTGAAGACGCAAGTCGTCGAGCTCTCCTCGATGCCCCCGAGATGCCAGACCTGCTTTGCCAAATCATTTTCGCAGTCGAATCGGTGGTCGAAAACGATGTCCTGCCCCTTGGCGTGCAATGCCTCCTGGATGCTCCTCATGACCTCCGTGTCCATCCCAGAGCCGCTGCACCCCCCAGCAAACGTGATGGTCCTGGGCGCAAGGTTGATGCAACATGATGTGCCAGCTGGCCTGCACGACAACTGCTCATCTGCCAGCCAAGACAGCAACTTCCCATCCGGCAACGTGTCCCTGTCGAGCGCCCTGGCATCCCGCCGAACTGCCCACGGGGCTGTCATGACCCGCACTAAACAAACGGATGCGAGTTGGGCGGGTGCGTTACTCAACCGAAGCAAGCGCTTGAGCAATGTTTTCAGGTTCCTAGATGACCTCCGGGCGTGCAGGAGACAGTCTGCCACATACGGGCCTTCCGAGCCAGAATGGTGGGCCCTCGCCGGGTTGCGTTCTGGGAGCATCTTCGTCGCCCTTTGGGGGAGTTCTGGGAGGCGCCTGCTAGTGCTTGAGCAATGTGTGAAGCTTCTAGAGGGCTCTCGGGCGCGCAGGGGGGGATTCTGCCACATGCGAGCCTTCCGCGGCATAATGGACTTCGGCGGCCATCAAGACTGCTCGACTTAGACCGATGAGGGGGGAGAGGGGGGTGAACGAAGGTTGGAAGAGGCAGGGGCATGGGAATTCGCTTCAAGACCAGAGCAAAGGAGGTAGACGGGGAGGGGGGAGGAGGAGGGAGAGACAGCGCGCGCCCACGCAACTGGCCAGCGATACGAGAGTACGCGAAACGTGCACGTGCGGAAACGCTGACTTATTCAAGAGGGAAGCCCCAAGACCCGTTTGCGACCGAGCGCACCGCGCAATACCCGTGCGCATATCTCTCGACGGTATCATGTTCGTTCTGAATATCACAATTAGCTGTGCATGCGGCCTATTACATATTATGTTTATTTGCTTTTAGTATGTATTTTTAAAATTATACGAAATAATTAAATGACTTAATTCAATAATATTTAATTTTCATGGGGTAGCTTTTTTTATTTTTCTTATTTTCTTGATTTTCCAAAATGGCGCCTTAAGTCCCGAAATGGCGCCTTAGCTCTGGAGTTAAGGCGCCATTTCAAGATTTAAGGCGCCATTTTGAAAAAATCAGAAATTCAAAAAAAAATAAAAAAATAGAATATGTTGAAATAATAAAAATATTTAAAAACAATTAAAATAATATAACATAAAAAAAAACTAATTTAAATGTTAAAGGTACAAATAAAATAATGAAACATCATTGAAAAGACAAATAAACCAAACGAATTCAATTAATGATGTGAGAACAACAGCAACACAAGTTGAAGAGGTGCTGTCATATTTGTTTACCTTACACACGCGGTGCATAACTCCTCACGCTGTTACCTCCCGCCGTCTATTATATGCACATGTTTCATTATGCCGCGACGCCGCGCGAAGATGAATTCTCGCTCAATTCGGCACGCCCCTTCATTGACAGCGACGCCGCATGAGTGGAAACCTCGCCGAGGCATCAGTGTACACATGGTCCTGAACTCAAAGGCGCTCACACTCGGTCTCGCACCCAGAACCACCGCACGCTGTCACGCTGCGCAGACAGAAGGCGCCCCGCTGAGAACACATGTGCAAGGCGTGCTAGACTCAGGATGGTGACAGGCTCACGACTGAACCCCGAACATGGAGCAATGCGAAGGATGCGAAACAGCACCGCAAGAAGAGACAGCCACGTCGCATTTCTCACCGCCAACGACAGCGACACTCACAGCACTCCCCAGCCGCGCCCGCTGCAACCCAGGCCGGGCAGCTCTTCGAACTCCGCCGGCACGAACCCCGACTGCGCGTCGTGCACCACGAGCACCTCCACTCCGCTCCGTTGTCGGCGCACGACGATGCAGACGATGACGTGGCGACCTCATCTGAATCCGCGACTGCGGCGACATCTGACGACGATGCCGACCGACAACGTAGCGAACCTACGATGGCACGCCAGCGACGACGACGACGACGACGCACGTCTGCGACGATGATGACGACGTTGTAACCTTGCAAACGACGAAGGCTGCCTACGGTCAAGACGATTCACGACTACGGATAATGACTGACGTCGAGGGTCATCGACGAGGGCGACGATTTCGGCGGCAACGACTTCGACGAGGCGACGATTTCGACGAGGGCGACGATTTCGACGTCATCGACGAGGGCGACGATTTCGACGTGACGTCGCTGGCTTTCCATGTCCCGAGCTGACGCTGTCTGCCAACGAAAAACAAATGTAGACCAACGCGCCGAGTCCAGGAACCCAAGACCCATAATTCACAATGCCGCCTATCTGGGGACGTGGCCTACGACAGCTCGGACAAGCCCCGTGTCCTCGAGGGGCAATGGCTTGGCAGGAGCGGAGCTCCTTCGAACGGTCCTCCTTCGAGACACCCCCCCCTCCTTGGAAACACAAACGACCGCTAGAGCGCGGAGGGCGCGCTGAAAGCTACGAAGATGGCCGGGGAGGGGGGCGGCAACGCCGTTATAATAGAACTGGAAAGCAAACGCCGCATGACATAACTGAAGAGAGAGAGGGTAATAGAGAAACCCGATATAGACCATGCGTTCATTCGCAAGCGCAGAGAGATGCTTGGCACTGGATGGGGACGCAAGGCGCGGGGCAAGGACGGGCAGGAAATGCAGGGGAGGCGTGAATGCACGCGAAGGAGTGGAAGGGGCGAGGAGTGGAAGGGCTACGAGGGGCGAGGAAACGCGGCCGTCCCTCCCCGCCCCCACGCGAGCAGCTGCATCCAGATCAGCCTCTGGAACGAACTCCGGATATGTCTTGGGGTCCCAATGCACATGATCTTTACGCTGGGTAAGAGATGGCGCCAAGTGTATGCCGTGATATAGCCACAGCTTGCAGAGCCGCCGTGCTTCATCGATTGTGATCGGGTTCCTCTTTCCCAACACTATATGTTTTTTACATTTCATTTTCGTTACCTCTCCGTCGTTTTTGTGGCAGCCGCAAGTTGCCCCAAATCCGATGACAACATTCCCGCCTTTCCTGTCAACGATGGGGGCGATTGTCCAGGGGCCCCATGGGATCTTGCGCTCCTCCCTGCCGCCAAACTGCCTGGAGAAGACGCCGAAGCACCTTGATTCCGATGCCCTAGAAGGCCCTCGCGCCCTGCCGCAGGAGGGGTTGCCCAAAAACCGTTCGCAGTGGGAGGGGTGGCCAAAAAACGATTCAGGAAACAATTTCTGAGCCCTGCTGGGCAACGGAGGCGGCCCCAGATCGCGACCGACCTCATTCCTCACAATCCCTGATGCGTCGAGGGTTCGGGGTTCAAGGTGCTTTGAGACCTGGTTCCTGGGGATCCCAGCTTTGACGAGCGAATCGTCCTCCTTCACCGCCTCCTCCCATGCCAAGATGTCGCCCTCTATCTCGGTATCTACAGAAGATCCATCGGTCAGCGCATCGAGCAGCTCATCCCCTGTCGTACCAACAAGCTCAGACTCCAACCTCCTGCGACCGCCACCGCGACCGCCACCCCTGCCACGCCCTCGGTGCCCTCCGCCCCTGCCTGCGGGCCGCGGCTCTGGAACAGGACCGTTCATTCTCGCCCAAAGGCGCTGAGCCGCCCGTGCATCCATAGCGGCTGCGTTGTCAGCCTGCAACTTCACAAGGTCAATGGGTTCGACGGCTGTGACGAAATACACCCCTGCAGAAACGTGCGAATAATGGCAGCGCAACCAACTTCCTGGGACACATACCTTCAGAGACAACACGAGAGCCAAACCTTTCTCCGTGGCGAAATGAGGCACACTCCGGCCCCATCGGTTCTCCGACTTCATCACGAGCTGGAATGGGGGGGCTCGTTCTGATTCCAAATCGTCGCCGTCAGCGTATTGCATAAATGTAAACTCTCCAGAATAGCTCGGGCTCTTCAGGTGGGACGTATTGAGTACCTTCGCTTGGGTTGGCGCAAGCCTGCCCTACCTCACACCGGGCCTGATGGCGACTGACGAAAGACTGGCAACAATTGCTTGCGTGCTTGCTTGTTGCATGCCGCTCGGCCGCTCCATTTCTCGCTCTCCCGCGAGCATTGAAGCGCGGGATGCTTGCACTCTTTTTACTTATATGAGTTTGGTACTGGAGGATTGATTGCTTGCTGTTTTGGGGGGCTCACCTCCCTCTGATCGCCAGGGCTCTCGCGAGGGCCAGATAAGTTTCTGTTACATTCCAAAGTGATTCCCAGATGCAACTCGGAGGACACCTGGGAAACTTGGAACCCACCTGGGCACGAACGCGCGACGCACTTCATCGCCACTGCGACCTATCCACATGATGAGCTCCTGCTTCCCTAGGCTGTTCTGGCACTTAGGCGCTGTGACCAAGTGCATGATTGTAACGTGATGTGCTACCATCTGACGATGCTCGTCCAAGACGCCTGGCCCGTACATGCACATGTCGCCAGAAGTACAGCTGCACCTAAGTCTGCCCTCGACCATTCAAACGGCATCGAATTACTGCCCGATCGCACGAGGCAACGGGATCAGCCAGGGCAAATCAAGAACCCAGGCGGACACTCTGATTTCCCCGAGGACGCCTGGAACAAGACAACCAATCGTCGGGCTGGACCGATGGGGGTGCTGAGGGCCCGGCGTCATCTTCCAGGTCAAGCCGTCGGGCACAACGCAGTGGTTCTGAATCTCACAACTGTGTTTGCAATGCCACTGCTCAGCATGAAACTGCACAAAAGATGGATCGCGACGTCCTCTGTTGCTTTCGTAGTCGGCCATCTTCGCATTAATGAAAGCATCTGATATCGGAAATTCACGGTTTGCGATCCCCCATGGCTTGGACCCTTCAAAGACCTCGGACGGCCTCTCTAACTCATCGACTACCTCCTCAAGCGGATCCACTGCATCAGCGCGCTCCCCTTTCTCAAGGAAGGCCTCCCACGTTGACTGCCGCCGTTCCTGCTCAGACGCATCCGCCCATTCAGAAGTTGCTTGGATAAACATTCGGGTGTGGAACGAGTTCTTGGTTTCCATGGGTGCACGCACGTTCTCTGTCTTCAAAGTTCGAACACGCTTGGACACGAACATGTTATATTTAGACGGCGCTGTCCCACTCCTTCGTTGTGCCCAAGATGCCCTAGCATTGTGCTTCGTGCCGCTAACGCCAGTCCATTTTGCATGGGTTCTGAGCAGCTGCTGGGACACGTGGTGCTGGGCAAGAGAGCTCAAGTGCGGGGCTCGCCAGCATACCTGTAACCACCGCTTGGACTCCGCGAAAAAGCTCTCGACATTGGCGGTGGCCGCCATCGCGGACGTGAATGCCGTCTCCCATCCAATTTCGGAAGAAGGGGGCAGAGCGGCTGAAAGTAGCGGGCAATGACGGCTGGCAAAGCGGGGGGAGAGCGACTCAGAGAGGGACTGAAATCTACATCTGGGACAACAACAAACCATCAGGCAGAAGGCACGCGCCACGCATAACCGCAACACATCTCGATTGAACAACCCTGTTCCCCAAACTAGCCCAGGCGGCCCCAGATGCCTGCAAGAATGACTTCATCGGCTCTTCAAAAAAGTCGTCGGGGCCCTCGACGGCCTGGCGCAGGCGCATGGAGAAAGCTTCATCTAGGCAGCAATCGTTCGCTGCCATGAACTGGGCAAGGACTTCGCGATTGGCCTCTTCAGTAGCATCTGGATCGAGAAGCTGTGCAAGCCTCCATGGCCAAGACCAAAAGAGCACGACAAATCTGCGGAACAGGTTGCCCATTATGAGATTAACCGATATGTGGGCATTTGTTCTCAGCTGACTTTTCCAAGAATCAATGGCACCGTAACAATCGATCATCACGCCCCAGATCTCAACGTGGTGGGGCGAGTCCACCTGCATGCTCTGATGCAGCTTCTCCAACAAGCAGAACGGGCGGGAACGCGAGAGGATGCAGCAGTTAAGCAGAGCAGACATGCCATCCTTATCTTCACCTCCCACCTTTCCCGCATTGAAGAGATAATAATGGAGGTGCATCAGAGGCGTTGCGAGTGATATCCACAGTAGAAGAGACGACTTGGTTGCAGGATCAGCGAGCCATCTGCGCATAGCTCTCCCTCGCTTGCGCTCCTGACTCCGCCCGTCCGCCTCGCCCGACCGACCCACGTCTTCGTCGCTGTCAGGTTCGCGCGGCGCCTCCCCACCGACCTCTCGCAAACCGACCATCGCGTACTCTGCCGTCGGGAGAACCCGATGGATGCACAAGAGGAACGTGTATATACACACAACTGAAGATACTGAAGTCCACTTGACCTCCGCTGGGATTTTCAATCGGCGCCGAAGCGGCAACATGAACGCCGCCGTGGCCTTCTTAATGGAATCCTCCCGAGCGTTCTCACAAACGACAAACGGCGCTGGCCCCTGGTCCGAAACGACACGGGCTTTTCAGGTACAGGAGAGCAAACGCGCCCACAGAGGGGGTAGAGAAACTCTCCAAAATATTTTGTTACGTGACACGCTGCTCCCCCCGCGCGGGTTCCCGCCCCCGATGTCCTCCCGGCTCTGGCAATGCCCAGGCGGGCAATAATGGCATGGCCGCGCCCGCCTCAGGTCGCCGTTCCACATGTTGCGGATGAGCTCCGCCTCCTACGCGAGACAGGGCGGCGGCGACCGCGACGAGACGGACGGGCGAAGCGACGCGGGCGCAGGGGGCAGGAGGACGCTGAGGGGTGAGCTAACAGGGTAGGCGTGGGGAGGAGGCGACAGGGAGTGGCGCGATGGGATGAGACGCAGGCGGAAGGGGGGGCGAGGACAACTGCGGGCCCCACTGCCGGCACGGCGTCTCACAACCCCCCGCGGGACCCAGAGGGAGAAACGACTTTGGCTGATGAGGGGGAGGTGGCGTGGTCGGGATCTGTGACATGGATCCTCGTCCCTCTCGAGGTCTTCTGCGGGGGAGTCCACGTTATGCTGTCGCCGGGCTGCTCGGCTGTAGTGAGTTGCCATCAACAAACGTTCGAGGCGGACAGCGTGCTCTGGTGGCGGAAGCTCTGGAATGATCTCTAATCCAGTCTCTGGGTGATCCAAATGTTTCCGCACTGCTTTTTCCAAATTCTGAATGTGTTCGCCGTGCCTCATCACGCTGCAAGCCCCGAACAATCTCCCGAGCACTCCTAAAAACAAGGTGATCGCATTGAGCGTCAGAGCTACTTGGTGCTGCAGGCACGGGTTGAACAGTATCATGACAGACGCTGGGATCTGAGATAATGCAAGCAGATACTTCCACACACGCTTGTTGACTAGAACGCTGTCGGTGTTAACTTGCATGCACCCGAGGGTAGCTCGACCCCACAGAGATTCCAAATGGCCTTCGTGCTTGTGGAAGATCGCTGACGCGATGGACGACGACTTACCGTCGCTCAAGACAGACATAGGGAGGACGACGTCCTCACGTTGCACGACGCCGCTCCCGCTCGACTGCCACTGCAACTGCCCATGCTGCGCGAGAACCCTCCGCCTTGCTACGCAATGACCAGATCCCTCGACAACATCGAAATCGCATTCGTCCCACTGAAGCCCATAGACAAGCCAATCTAGAAACGCTGGTGGCTTGTGGAGTTCGTCTATACGCTTCCACTGCTCCAAGGACGCCAAGTTCGCAACGGCTGCTCGAGCGTACCGAACTTGCTTGTGGCTCGCCTTGGGAAGAGGGCGCGAAGCGGACCCGAAACCCCGTGACCGCCCGCGGCGCCCCATCCAAATTCCAAACGACCTTGGGATGGAACGTACTCCCGATCTAATAACAATGGCGGGGGGGGGCCTGCTTTTCGGGGGGGTCTAACGGGCTTCGTCAAACACAATTGGGGTCTCGATGTGGGACGCTTTGTTGTCTGTCTAGGGCGGGGTCTGCGCCGATTTTGTTTTTTTTGGGGGGTCCCAGACGGGCCGTCAAACGCTTTTTTTGATGCCCCCCTCCCCCGTTATTATGAGAGTTGGAGCAACAGATTCGTCTTCGCCCCTGGAGGCTAGGCCAGAAATCGCGGGCAGGAGGGAGGGGGAGGGCGCGGACGTGGATTGGCCTCATCCCCGCTGTCTTCCCATCAAAAACGCCAACGCCAGGAATAACTCGCATACATAACTTCGCGCTGTCCTGACGCAGCGAAACCGCTGGAAAACCACGGCGAGCCACGTGCGATCATCTTCGCGCTGAGGGATCGTCTGGAGGACTATATACGGAGAGGGCCTGACCTTCGGCTTCACTACTTTGCAAACTTGACGACAAGGCACAGCGATGAGGTTGAACGTGACGCGCAGCAACGACCGTGCCAACCACTGCTTCCAGCGGCCCGACCCACCCGGACGTTTCTGCGCATGGACGGCCATGATGTCGTCCACCCTGTGCGCGTCGAACCTATTGTGGTGGGCAATCTGAGCTCGCAAGCGAAGATTGCAGGATCCTTGCAGCCGCTGCGCTCTCTGCACTGCGACGGTGGACCTCCCGTCACGTCCCCCGTCAGTTGCAGCGGAAAGAGACAGCGGAAAGAGGGAGAGAGAAAGAGGGAGAGAGAGAGAGAGAGAGAGAGCCAGAGAGCGATAAATATAAACAAACCAATCATACTGAGCGAATGGCCCTGAGCGAAAGGAGGGCCATCTATGGAATGCGATCGAAAGAGTGATCCTGAGCGAAAGAAGAGGATCACGAGTGAGAGAGAGAGAGCGAGAGAGAGAGAGAGAGAGAGAGAGAGAGAGAGAGAGAGAGAGAGGAATGGCAAACAGGCATGGAGCCAGGAACGAACGCAATCTGAACGCGACAGCACGAACAACAAGCGACTGACAGCGACGCCTGCAATCCCGAGTGCCCAGGGGCGGGGGCGCCAGAGTCGGAGCGCGCGTGAGAGAGCGCGCGAGAACGGCAAAGAACGGCGGTGGCTTCGAGAGCGCATGCATGACTGATAGAAGGAGGACTGGTAGTCGAGGAAGAAAGGATGCAGGAATGGACGGATGATTGGAGGGAGGGGGCGATGGGACGGAGGTAACGGTTACGATGGGAAGAAGGAGCAGGAGCAGGAGGAGCAGGAGTAGGAGGAGGACGAGATGGAGAAGGAGGAGGAAGAAGAGGAGGAAGGGGAGGAGGAGGAGGAGGAGGACGGGATGGATGAGGAGGAGGAGGAGGAGTTTTTTTTTTTTTTTTTTTTTTTTTTTTTTTTTTTTTTTTTTTTTTTTTTTTTTTTTGTTTTTGTTTTTCCCCGCGGGGTAGAACGCAAAACGTTTTATCATTCATGGAGGAAGCGAGCGGCCTCCTCCTCAGGATCAAGACCCTGCTCTGGGGCAACGGACCCCTGGGCATGGTCACGGGGCCCAAGGACCTCGGGCTCCAGTGCATTCGAACGCAGCACTGGGGCCCTCAAAACTTGCTCCTGGAAACCTCGCGCCTCCTCTCGAGCTGCTATCCGCTGCCTCATCCCCTCCAGTCCTGGAATTAAAGCCGTGCCTGGAAGATCACCCTGAGGACGCTGAAGCCACACAGCACGTCGAGGGCGCTGCTGGGTCTCAAGTAGCCTCTGGCGCTCCATATCACTTAGTATGTGGAGCACTACACCTGGTGCGGCACGATTGGACTGGGGGTGGAGGCCTCGGAGCATACGATTGAGGCGACATTTACTGGCAGAAGACACCACGTAGCCTCGGCACTGCTTCTCGAGCTGACGACTGAGACGCTCAGTGCTGTAGGCACCGCAGCGCCTGCAAAAGACCAGACTCGGACCTGACGAGAGTCGTGTGTAGACCAGGTCATGCCCGAGGGAGGGCTGTCCCAGGAAAGAGAAGTTGTGTCTCCTCCCTGGGCAGCCCGACATATCCAAAGCATTAGCACACGTACCTGTACGGCGAGCATGACAGTCATAACAAATGAAGGAGCCTGGTGCACCTGGGACGGACGTCCATGCATGCCATCGGTTAGCACCTGTGCTCCTAGGGCAAGGAACCTTTCTCCGTTCAGGGAACTGGGAAAACGGAAACAGGGGCAAAACCGTCCCCATCACACGGGCCACAGCACGGGCCTTGGCAACCAGGGCCGAGAGGTCATCCCAGGACTCTTGGGGTTCCTGTGCGTGCAGTGCTAGAGCCTCCTTCGCGAAACGATCCGCATGGAAGTTGGCACGTCCTATCCTACGCTCATCTGGCGGGAGAGCATCAATTACATCCATGCTTCGGTGGGCAGGGGTGTGGGTCGCAGGGCCGACGTTTTTCGAGCCTTGGATCTCCCAAAAACCCCTCCGAAGCCCAGCATATTTGTTCCTGGAAGACACCTGAAGGGCAGCCGACTGATTATGATACCGCACGGGACCCAGACAGTCCGAAAAAACTCCAATCTGATGCGTCAGCTGCCCGACAAAGAAACTTATGGCAACTAAGCCCATGTGCTCAGCTGCCTGAGGGGTCTGCGGCGAACTTGGCCAGACCGGCCCACGAAACCTCGCCAGTACTTCCTCCGAGCCTCGCTCAAGGAAGACTCCAGCAAAGGAAGCTCGCGCAAGCTCGCGTATCGGAGGCCTCGTGCACGACCCATCGACGACGACATCGCTGGCTCCCTCGATACACGAGAAGTCCGATAGGACATTTCCTTGCGCATCCAAGAGCTCGGGATAGACCCAATCAGTGGGAGGCTGGAAGGTGAGAGAGGGATGAGGAAAGATGAGGCGGGTCCAAAAAGGGTTCGTCGGACCAGCCTCCAAAGCCTCTTGAACAATCTCTGGGGTGGCAACCTCTCCTCGGGCCTGTGCAACCTCGGGGCTAGGGCACACCCAGAGCCTGTGGAAGACACTATCAGGGGCCCCACAACGTGGACAGAGGCCTTCATCTATGTTTAGCCTGTCGCACGTGAACACAGCCTTACAAAAGCAACTAGCTACAGCATACTTCTGCCTAGGCGTATACTTCTTAGACGTACACACTATGCTACGCACAATGTCAGAACACACACGTGCATGCTCAAAATTATCTACAGTGCGTGCCATATCACGTTCATGCTTACGCTGAACAGCATCACGAAGCAAACCCTTAAGCATGTTAGGAGCCGTGTACATGAGCGAGATCTCCACCCCATTATCATCCCCCCAGAGAGCGAAGTCCTTAGCGGACCAGCCAACACGTCGGAGAGATAGGAGCATCCGCGAGATCGGTCCTTTCGTGTGTCGCCATCTGTGATGTGGCTCCATTCTCTCCTTAACTACCTGAAACATCTGATGAAGTTCTCGAATGCTGAAGAGAGCGCGCTCTGGTGCAACCAGGGCCTGCCAGACTGCCACACTCCATGCAGCTGCTGGTGCAACACTGACGTCGGCCATCGGGTCGCCGTGGAGCACAATCTTCGACAGCAAAGATCCACCCCTATGCGATGGAGAGCGAAAACTGAGCAGTGAGGTGCGAGCTCGCTGCAGCTCGTAGTCCGACATTCCAAGCACAGAGCTGCCATAAGCAAGAGCTGGTTTAAGGCCTGCCTGATGTATTACTGCCATTCGATGTTTCCCGTGAGATAACCATTTACGAAATCGAAGGACCCGAGAGTGTCGAAGGCGAAACTGGCGAAATCGTTCACGACGCTTTCGGAGGGCCCCTTTTGTCATCCGAACCTGCGCTGGTGTAAAGTCAACCCCAAGATTCACCGACGAGTGGGTTATGGTGCCTGCTGGGAGCCCTCGGAGCTGAAGTTGATGTGCTAGCGCCTTAGCTAAGGATGGTGAGCTGGCAATCGTAATAGCTTTAGTTTCCGATATGTCGGCTCTAAGTTGTCCCCGAAACATGTGATAAAAAACCTCCGCTGCATCTGGAATCAATCTAAGCAACTCAGCCTTAGTACCCGTCGCCATGATCGTGTCATCGTCGACATACGAAGACAGCCGAATAGGATGTGGAAAGCGAGCCGTAAACGCGTCGAAGGCCCCGATCGCATATACCTTTACGAACGCATCGTTGAAAATATCACCTGCAGGTAGGCCGCTCTGAGCAAAAAGTGCAACTGGATGGAAGGAAGTGCCCAGCCTAATCAGCCGCGGAGAGCGCCAGAGGTTGTACATCGTTTTTACAATCACCCCAGGGATGCCCCATTGTCGAGCTCGATCGCGCAGACGCTCCAGACAGAAAGACTCGTAGTATTTCTTGCCGTCCCACTGGACTCCCAGGACCACCTGATCATCCGCCGCGGCAATCTCTCCAAGGGCCGTCTGGGCCCACACACATGACTCCGCGCTCTTCCCAGACCCAAAGGCCCAGTAGGCCCCCCCCGTGGCCGCAAAGAACGGATCCAGCATGGGACGGCGGAGCCTCTCCCATACACGCACAAAGCTGGCCAACAAGAGGATGGCACGGTGCCCTCCCGCTGGCTTCTCAATAAGTGGAAATACCATCCACATGAAGTGACGAGGAAAGAGTCCTAGTCGTTCCACTGCTTCAAACAATGCACTGAGGGTCTCCAGAGCTGGATCACCCAAAAGCGATATATGTCGGGGATGAAAGCCATCCAAAGTCGATGACGTGAACTGGCAAAAGGACCGAGAAGCACTCCGCAGCTCGTCAGCAGTGGCCCGCGGGAAGCACTCGCGATCAGGTACTTCAGCGCGTGGGGGCGACGTCGACGCATTCCACTGTTGCTGCAGCATCCCGACCTCCGAGTTGAGCACCTCCTCAGGACTGCTGGAGTAGATGCCAGGAACCTTCTGAACCACTGTGGGGCACCATACCTTCTGGAGTCGCGTGATCTTATGCATCAGTTTAGCCGAGCCCTTGAGGGCAGTGTCACACCACTCCGTCCACGACTGCTGCCGTAAGCGTAAAGATTCTTTCGTAGCTACTTCAAACTCCACAGATAAATGTTCGCCAAAGAGAGTAGCCCGATCCCACCACTCATGAGGATAAACTTCGGGGTACTCATGGATGAGCTGTCTCAAAGCGATGACCTGTGAGTCGAGCCTGACGTCCAAGCCCTCGCCAGGGTAATTCTCCACAAGACAAGTCTGCTTAAGAGAAATGGCAGCCGTGTTGTGGTGAAGCTCATCACGCTGCTGAACCATCAACTCGAACTCATGCCACACACGGTACAGCCACTGCCAGCCGCGAGCTATGAGCATCGGATCCTGTGCGTGATCCTTGCGTCCCAGAACAGGTACCCATCGTCGTGCAAGATAGTTATGCCTGGTGAGCTTCTGAATGGGGAAGTCCAAGGCACCTGCGATCTCAATCTCGGCATCTTCAAGAAAAACAGTCCATGCTTGATTGAGCCTAGCCCATGCTGTGCCAATCGAGTCAAACTCTGCTGAGTATACTGCTTCATCCGCCATCTGCCGTGATGCCACACAGCATCGTGGTTCGGGACGTGGACCAAAAGGAGGAAGCACAGGGAATCGTGTATGAACACAGAAAACCAGCTGGCGTAGGTTGACCGCATCAGGGCGAAGGTGGAGTCGGACGGGCTTGTGGGGTCCTCCATGCCATTGGGAGTACACACGAACCTTCTCCGTTGCCCTGACGATGTCCTGAGATGCCAGAAAGAAATCAATTGTACTAGCCGAGGTCGACATAATGCACGTGTGCCGAGCTGGTGCCATCGTGATAAGTCCAGCCTTGCGCGTGAATCCGCTCTGCTCGATCACCCCAGGCTCAACATTCCAATCAGCAGCTGCCAAGAACGATCCAGCAGAGCGGCTAATGGAAGCCCCAAGCACCGACAGCAGGTTCATATTGGCCATATCCAATCCAACACTATCATGAAAGTATGCAGAATACACCACGAGCTCAGGCCAGCCTGGGATATCAACAACTGCTGAAATGAGCCGACCTTTGACAAGCTCACCGCCAGTAGGATTCCATCGCAATCCGAGATGCTGCCGAGCAAATATGGCCACTCCCGCTGAGTGTGAGCCACGTGCACAACATCGCGACGGGCTGCATAAAGCTCGGAAACCTGCGGTGCGAGCAGCACGCTGAAGGTCAGGTACTGCATCAGGGCCAGTACCAATCTCCTGCGCACAAACCACCATCGAATCACTAGATCGTAAACGTTCGAGGAGCGTGGCACGGCAATTACCATTGAACGTTTCCAGGAACTGTGGGCCACCAGCAGCAGAAGACGACTTTGAACCCTTGTGCTGCGGAACGATGTGGCCCATAGACGAAACTGGGAGACCGCTCAGGTAAGGAGGGTTAGGAAGGCGACGTACGCTGACGCTTGACTCCCAAAGCCTCCAGCTGCTCCTCAAACTCACGCTTATCTTCAGTCTGGAAGAGAGTATCGATATCATCAGCTGACAAGCCCGAAAATTGGGCCTGCGGCATTGGAGCATCCCTTCCCTCGGGCGGTGCTGCGGCAGCAGGGTGGTCAGCGGCAGCAGCAGCCCCGCCTCCCCCGTCGGCTCCGCCTGCAGCACCTGCAGCGGTGGGCGGGGGAGGAGCAGCCTTTCTGCAGAGCTCCTGGAGCTTGGCAAAGGCCGCGCTGGACAAGAGCTGCTTGACGTCGGCGTTCGCCTCATCATCCAGCACCTCCGTGGGGAGCTCCAGCTTGACGTCCATGTACTGGGAGCTGGTGCCAGGGCCTGCAGGCATGGTGCGGCGCAGCTCCTCCTCCAAAGCCGCCACCTCGCGCTGGCATGCGGCCTGCTTCTCCTGCAGCTCAAGTAGTGACTTCTGAGCCGCCTCGATAACCTTCTGCTGGGCAGTGACGGCTTCAGCTGCCTTGGCCTGCTTGCGCTGCGCCGCCTGGGGCCTGAAAGCCACATTGGTGTGCTGCTGCAGCTGTGGCTTAGCTTCTCGCTGAGCCTTGCGGGCAGCACGAAGTTGCTCCTCGAGGCAGGCTCTGGCAGGGTCGGAGGAGTCGACATCGCCAAGCTGCTTGAGAGCCTTCTCGAGGGAGTCAATGCGGGCGCCACGCTGCTCCTGCTCATCACCAGGAGGAGCAGCATCACCACCGGCAGCCTCGGGGACCTGAGCCTTCGGGTCCTTGAGGCTCTTGAACTTCTGGTCGAACTTCCTTTCGATCGCAGCCGTGATGGACGCAACCAGGTCAGGCGTCGGCGGACCGTTGGCCCATGCACCCTTCGGCTGTCTCGGCGCAGATGGGGCTGGCCGCTGGCCCCACTCCTTCTCCGCTTTGCGAGCTGCTTGTGCCACACGGCCAGGAGCAGCAGCACCACAAAGACATTTGATACGGCAGGCCCAATTCGCAGTACGGGAGCACTGTGAACAAGACCAATGAGGCATACGAGGGCCTCGAAGCACGGATCCATCGCCAGCCATGCGGTCAGACTGGAGATGCGAGAAATATCAAAAAGCCTTTTTGGCCCGGCGAGGCAGGCCGCTCTGAAGTTTGCCTCGTCAAGCTCAGGCGTCAACTGGCCTGAGCCAGAACGGCTGAGGAGGAGGAGGAGGAGGAGGGAGGAGGAGGAAGGGGAGGAGGAACTCCGCACCCCTGCCGTCCGAGCGATCGCGGTCTGCTTGCGGCCGTCGCGCCTGGGGCGCAGCTGCCGCCGCAGGGCCGCCTGGGCCACGGCGACGACAGGGTCAGGCAGCGCCTCCATTGCCGCGCTGCCCGGCGGCCGAGCGGAGGCCGCCCAAGAGGCCAAAATGGCCTCGCAACCGAGGGAGGGCGAGGGGCAGAGAGCAAAGGGAATCGAGGGGATATGGGAACATGGGCACAAGAAATCGAAGAGCGGCGGCGGCTCCAAAAGGAGCCGGGGGGGCAGGGGGAGGGAGGGGGGGGGATGCAGGAGGCGAAGGCGAAGAGAGCACGGGCCAGTCCGCCGCCGCTGCCGCCATCTCTCGCAATCCGTCGCCCTCTTTTGACCTCTAACCTCCGCTGATATCCCCACCTCCCGTCGTCCACTTCTGACGCCTTTCTCCTCCTCCTCCTCCTCCTCCTCATCCTCCTCCTCCTGCTCTCCTCGCGTCGTTCGCAGGCAGCGGGGCCGCGGGGGGGCGGCGCGCCAAAGTGCCGCCACACGTGCACGCACACGAGGCACGACTTCCCGCACGCCTTCTTCACCTTGTTCTTCTTCAGCTGCTTGTAGCGCCCCCACGGCCTGCCAGGGCAGAGGTGGGGAGGGACAAAGGATGCGCATGGAGAGGCGACGGCAAACGCTACGCGGCCGACGCGCCGACAACAATGTCGGCGACGGCGGGAGGCACGGGCGAGGGGTGACTAAAGGTAGAGGCGCCTGCGACCACCGAACTTGTCGCCTGCGAAGGCGCTGTTGAGCGGCGACGGCTCGTCGCTCTGGGCGGCGCACGTCGCGCACACGAAGGGCTTGCCGCTGGGCTTCAAGAACGCGAGCGTCCAGCCTGCAACTTGCGCGAAAATGGATGGGGGGCGGGCGGGGGCGACGCGGGATTGGGATGTAACGAGCGGGGCGGGAGTGGACTGCGGCGGGGGGTGAAGGGAGGGGGGGGGCGACTGCCGAGATCCCCTGAGATTTCTCTCAGAGAGGAGCACGCTCTCTAAGAGGAGTGCGGGACCAGCAGGGGAGGTGGTAGAGGAGGAGGTGGAAGAGGAGGAGGCGGTAGAGGAGGAGGTGGAAGAGGAGGAGGGATCTAAAGAGTGCGATCCCGGTTTTATTTTTCCCTTTGCCTGGCTAGCCTGGGCTTTCAAGAGAGGTCTGTAGCGCGATCCCTGGGATCCTGGACGAGCTCCCTGGGATCTCTCGTTCGAAGGCTGACGATGGCAAACCGCTGAGACATCTCTCCATCGCCCGCCCTGTCCCGAACTCCCCACCCCCAACCTCCGTTCCCATCCACCTGGTCCCTTTCAAACCCTCCCCTCATCATGCTCATCCCCTGCCTCCGCCGCACCCGCGGCTCGTCACTCGACAACGCACACCCCCCCCGCGGCCCAGACGCCTTCCGGCATCCGCAGCGTCGAAGCCGTCGAGCAGGTGCCAGTGCCGTCGTCATCGTCCTCGTCCTCCGCATCCTCCTCCTCGTCGGCCCTCGCGACCTCCTCGGCGTCGTCGTCCTCGAGCTGCCGCTTGCCGCGCGCCATGATGGCGCGACGCTGGGCCGAGGCCGAGGACAAAGCTCCAACCAACAGCTGAGGCGGACGGCGGGTGGCAACAAAAAAGGCACCTCCTCCTCCTCCTCCTCCTCCTCCTCCCCCCCCTCCTCCCCATCTTCCTCATCTTCTCCTCGTCCTGCGCCCCTTCTGCTCTTCCCATCCCCCCCCTTCCTTGCTAATCGCCTTTTCCTCGCTCCCCCCCTCCTAAGCGCCGCCGCCGCCTGTCTGCCCCAACCGTTGCCCGGCTAGCTGGGCAAAAGGGAAAATAAAACCGGGATCGAACTCTTTAACCCCCCCCCTCCTCCTCTTCCTCCTCCTCCTCCTCCTCCTCCTCCTCCTCCTCTTCCTCCTCCTCCTCTTCCTCCTCCCCATCCCCCCCATCCTCCTCCTCATCTTCTCCTCGTCCTGCGTCCCTTCTGCTCTTCCCTTATCCTCGCCCTTGCTCGGGCCGCAATCGCTCGGACAGCAGGGGCGCAGAGTTCGGGCGGCTTGCAAGCTGACCCCAAGCGGATCGCAATCGCTCGGGCGGCAGGGGTGCAGAGTTCCTCCTCCCCCTCCTCCTCCCGCTCCCGCTCCCCCTTCCCCTCCCCCTCCTCCTCCTCATCCTCCTCCTCCTCCTCTTTCTCCCCCTCCTCCTCCTGCTCCTCCTCCTCCTCCTTCCTGGCCCGACATCGCTTACAACTGCTGGAAGAACAGGGTCGCGAGGGCCGAAGACAAACGGCGAAGCCGATTCAGACGGCGACGACGACGAACGGCGGAGACGACGACGAACGACGGCGACGACTACGAACGACGACGGGCCGAGACGACGACGAAAGCGACGGGCGACGACGAATGCCGCGGGCGGCGGACGGCGAGGAACGACGACATGAGAGAAGACTGCGACGACGGCAGCGGGATCACGCAGTTACGAGCAAACAGAAAGAAGCACCGCCGACCCACAGTTGGCCACGAGCGCGTAAGACACGGTTTTTCGCGAAGGCCATTCCGATGCGTGGTTTCGGCGCGGCTTGCACATTCCGACATTCGATTAAAAACAAACTCTGACGTTGCCACGCAAATAATTGTGCCAATTGCCAAGAGCGGTTATTCAAGAATCACCCGTAGGATAAACAAAACCAGTTCTCGAGCTCAACATTCGGTACAAAAACACATGGAGGAGGCGCGCGATATTCTGGTAGCCGCTACTATCGGGTGAACATCCGCGCAGAAATCCGTAATAATATTAAGATGAATGGAAATCATATCATTTATACTATTAATGGTTATTAAGAATACAAATAATGAAGATACTAATATATTATTCTAGATCATACTAATTATATAAATATTTAATACTTACAATTATATATTATATATTATATATAAAATAAATAATACTATAATATTATTCATTATATTGATTAATATATAATTAGATTATAATATGAAATTAAATAATATTAATATATATATAATTTATATTCATTATATTAGTATAAATTAAATAATATTAAAATATATTAATTAGAATTATATATATATATATATATATTGGATATATTATTATATACATACATATATTTATATAAACAATATTAGATGATAATATACATACTATATTATAACAAATATATTATAAATTGTATTTATATTATATTACTGTACACTACGAATTACGAATTTCTGAGCGGCTATGCATTCCGACCACAGAGACCCTCAGAACATCACACTCTAGATCCTTATGGCACATCGCCGGGTCGACGTGTCGATGGCAGCTCAAGCATGTATTCTTCTCTTTGCATGTTTTGGCAACTCCCACCACGGCTTCCCAGAATGATAGTAGTGGTAACCCTTCCAGTCGTAGTGCGGAATCGAGAGCCACGATCTCAGATTCAGTAGATGAATGTGAAACAACCGTTTGTTTCTTACATACAGCGTTGACTGGAAAGAACGTATTGGGTCCAACAAGCGCAGCAAAAACGCCGGTAGTGGATTTGGATGATGTAATGCAATCAGCGAACGAGGCGTCGGTAAAGAACATGATGGATAACTTGTCTGACGAATCGCCTATCCATCCGTGTAAGCAGTGTGTGCGCGTCGTTTTGATATAGCATATCAACCGATGTAGACGCTTGTCACATGTAATATTCAATTTGGTAATTTCTCTGGCCAACATACATACCGGATGTAGAATATCGAAACGACAGCAACGTGCCAAGTACAGTATCTTCATTAGTACACTTGCCGCGTCCTGGCCGAAAATGCCCTCGTCTGAATAGTCGGACTCAGTGAAGGAGGTGTCCTCGATGCCAGGGGTCTCTGCGTCGGGTAGGTCATGGTATGTGGCGGGTATGGTATTGGTAGATGTCGTGTCGACCGATTTTGCTGGACTGGATGATCGTGGCCGTGCGTTGAGCACACTAGTAGGTCTGGCGACCGACCCGGAGGATGTTGGCGATTTGGATCGCGAAGCCCTCGGCGAGTCGGATCGTTTCCGACGTGACCCTGTTCCCTGGGCGCGCTTGGATGCGCATTCCAGGTATCGCTCAATGCACTGATCTGTAAAACCAAGCATATCATGTCGAATGCCACGAACGTGTTTGGCCGTATTGTAATATTTCTCATTGTGTGCAGGTAGCATAGGGCGTATTGTGGACATTCTTTTGTCGAAGATGTTCTGCGGTACATCATATGCTTGTTGTCCACAACCCAAATATTGTGAGTATGGAGTAGGTGGATCCAAGTCAATACCGCTTTTGCGAATATAATCCCAGCCAGTCTGTAGATTATGAGCTGGGCCGGCCAATTTAAAATCGTCCACATATACTGAAAGTATCAGTCCCAGTTTGTTGTGTCTCCATACGCATTCCCATCCTGAAATAGGCTCGAAACCGACGCTTTCCAAGCATGTGCGGCATTTTCGCTCCCAAAAGACACCTGCGAGAGGGTGTCCGTATAGTGCCAATCGCAATCGGCACACTGGGTTCTTGCATTTTGACCATGATGTCGGTTGTCGCCATTTAGGTATAGTAATCCAAGTATCAACTGGATCAATTCGTCCGTCGCCGTATAGCAATGCCTGCGTGTAGGCTCCAGGTGCGTCACTTTGCTCTCCCGCATATTGCGGCAATAACGCAGTAGCATCAAGAAGTTTGGAAGCCTCTATATGCGAAGCACTGGAAGCGGCGTCGGCGAATATGGCGGCCAAACCAGTTTCATCTTTGCCTGTATTGCCCTGAACCACCACTCTGCCCTTGAATTTACGTAGATCAGGAGGAAGTTCCTCATGTTTGACTGAAGATAACTCCAAGATATTGAAGAAATGCACCTTTGTTCCATTGCGGATAGCTTGTGACTCAATATCAGCTTTTTCTGCAACAGTCTCCAACATCCATGTTTGTTTCTTTTCCAATCTCTCGCATTATTTTCGTAGGGCTTCTTGTGCACGTGGTTATGCGGCAACTTCTTTCTTACTCAGGTTTCTGGTAACTAGCGCTGGGCGTGACCATGCTGAATCTGGTATTTTATCTCTGTGTGCCGGCGTGTAGTTGGTCTCACGTGGCATGGTTGGCATTGCTACCGACTGGGTGAACTTGCGTATAAGCGGGTTCAAAGTCCCAAAGTCGGTTCCCTCATTATCCATAAAAGCCAAAGCACGTTCTTCTCCATCATGCTGTTGTGGTAGTTGACGGTAGTACAGTACCGTAGTAATGTCACGTGGCCCACCAGGTAATTTGGCATACAGTATTTCTTTGTTTGTCACGCCTTTGACGCTTTCGTCGCGGATGACGTCGCCATTGTCAGTGTCGTATGTAATCCGTCGTTCCACAGTATTCCAGGTGGGTCCGCCGGATGTAGTAATACGGGAATTGTTGACCTGCTTGTCCTGTCTCGTCCACACTCTTAGTGCAGCGCGATCACGAATCTCACGAGCTCGTTTAACGTCATTGGCGTACTCGATCTCTTTCTGTTGCTGTCCACGAGAAAGTGTTTTCCAATGCTCGGGAAGAACGTGATCAGGACGTGTAGTAGTCTGCATGCGTGTCTCGCGTCCACGAACCACCATTTTGCCGTCTGGCGTTATTTTTGGAAGCTCATAGAACTGAATCGTGCCTGTCCACGGCTCACTTAACTCCCTGTGGTCGTTGGCGCTAACACCATCCCAAACGTCTCGGAAGTTACTTTCCCCCTCAAAAGTAGAAGTCGTTTTGAAATCTCGTGTCACGTCGAGTTGGTCAACAGGTACAGGTATGTTCATGACGTCGTCCGTCGGGATGAACAGTTTCTTTCTTGGAGTACGGATATGTCTGATGACGCAATATCCACGCTGTTCCCAGTAGTCTGGCTCCGGCGCTGGTGCAGCAACTTCAGAGTCCGATGTCTGGATATCAACAGCGTTGTCCTCCGTTGTCATCATAGATGGGTCATCCCATTCTTTAGGATAGGGAAGTGGAGGATCAGGCATTGGCTTGTCACCCAAGGGACGAGAAGTAGATGCCTTCACCTCGTCGTGTGCCTCAGGGTTATGATGTCGTAGAATACCATCTTTCACTGGGTAGGTGAACTTGCCATCAGGAATGATGATGTCTTTGACTCTATGCACATGACACAGTTCACCGTCAGGATTCTTGGCGTATGTAGCCGTGTCCAAGACAAGGTAGTCACCTGACCATCGTCCACCAGAGTGTAAGTGGTATCCCATGAATAACCCTTCCCGAGTATTTTCTTTAAACTTTGCAGTCTCGTTGTTAATCTCGGGGTCGAGGCATTTCCAAAAGATCCGAGCACCGAATGGTACGCAGTGCTCAGGAAAGCTTTCGCCAAATCGTATTTCATGAGCTGTCTTTTCTGCATGTTCTTCGCTGAGGGCAGCCACGCCCGCGGATGTATGCACAAAACTGTGTCCACAGCAAAAGGCTTGCATGGCCTCTTTCCACCATTCGTGTCCCAGGCCAGACATATGCAACACAGCTCTGGCACCGAGAATGACAATTTTGACAACGCGC